GGCCCAGGCTTGCTCCCAGTGAAGACCAAAGGAATTTGCATTTACTTCCAAAGAAACATTAGCTGCCTTCTAACACGCAGCCTTGCAAGGCTTTGCCCTGGAATGCACTGAACACTTTCAACATCATCCTTATCACTTGGAGGGAGATGCGGGCCCTCGGCTTCTCTCAAGATCAGACTGTGAAAATAAACACATTATGGCCTTGCAAACCTTAACTGATGCAATAATCTCACTGGTTCTGAGTGGAGTTACTGCCATATGCAAGCATTCTCAGGAGCGTGCTTCAGGCTTAAGGGGCAGAGTAAAAGGGGGAGGGAAAGGAAGACGAAGGTAGATCCGGTCAAATATTCTTCCTCTGCTTTGACATACTTCCTGCTTCCCTAAGTCCAACTCAGGAAAAAAAAAAACAAAAAAAAACCCAACCTTTTCTGTGTAAATCGTACCAGGCAACAATTCCATTTTCTTCTTCATAACATTTTCATTAAATAAGATTCATGCAGCCCAGGCCAGGTATGACTACATACACATTGGGCTCCGTAGTCTCTTTCATGAGACTGATCCATGAATAGGTCAATTAAGAAACAAAGAGCCTTTTTAACCTAAAAGGAACATTGGGCTAAGGCATACAATCAAGTTTTCATGGTTCAGCAAGGTGCTGCACATCAGATGACTGTATTAATTAACAGCACACTGTTAGCTTCTAGCAAACCTGAGGTTAAAAATGTGTTAGCTTAAATGTCATTGAAATCAGTACTTGTCAGCTCCAGTAATTCAATCATATGTCTGAGCTCTAAGAAAAGTAAAGGCTAGTGCTAGAAACCAGAAACCTTCTGGATGAAACAATACTGTTTTTCATTTTGAGCAGCAATTCAGTATAGTAGTTACCTACTACACAAACTGATAATGCAATGACTAAAATGTCCCAGTTCTGCTGCTGCTGCTGAGATCACTGGGAAATCACAGTCTAATTCAATAAATGTAGGTCATTTTCTGTAATCTCAGTAATACAGCATGGCTTAATACAGTCATTTTGTATGATGAGCTTTTTAAACTGACTTGGTCTTCGCTGTCATTTATCTTCAGACTAGAAAAAAAGATTATAGTACAAATTACCTGATTCTTATTTATATTGCTGCAGGCAGAAGCGTAGTTTAGTATTGTGAAGGATAATTTTACCTAGGTTAGTCAAGGTGCTAGGTACACAGAATTAGCCCTAAGAACAGAGAGCACCTTGTATCCAGACTAGCTCGGCCATCCCTGTATGACACTTCAGGCTTCTCTAGACCCAGCCTCAGTGCAGTGAATGTAAAAGAGTCTTGACATAAGGGTGAATGCGCTCATGTCTATTCTACAGGGTTTAAAATAAACTCTCTTTCCAGATATGTGAAGAAAGTTATCATGGATTTCAAAGAGAGTTTTAGGTTCACATCAGTTTAGAGTGCTCATGTGACCTTGAGGATCTCAGGTGTTTGTATCTGAACGTCTCACAGCTTTTTAGTCTTTTATTCAAATGAGGTTCTGAATCACAGAAGATCTAAGTGACCTGCCTGACGTCATATGAGATCCTGCATCAGGCAGAGGAGCTGAAGCTGGCTTTTCCAGAACCTCAGCTGGTTTGATAACCCTCGAGGTCATTCAAAACTAACAACTAGTTTTGAGCAGACAACAACCCAACTTTATTGCTTTATGAGATTTAAAACGTTCATATCAGTATTCATTTGGTGAAAGACAGAGAAAGAGAAAAAAAAATCCAAAGATGAAGAAGGTAAACAGACTAATAATTATACTTCTCAGTGGCTTCTGAGCACTGAGGCGAATAGTGGTTTTCTGTTGACTCCTGGCAGTGTGACTAGGCTTTCATTCTGGCACTAGATGAACTAAACAGGACCAACAAGGCACAGGCCTGAAATTATCCATACTACTAAATTGGTCCCTGGCATAGTTTAGACCCAGACCCGCCTGTACTTTTGCGGACAATGCCAAAGAACAGTTTGAGTGTTAATCTGGGTCAGGGACCATCTCCAATAGGTATTTTGGACGTGGCCACCATGATTTGGAGGATAAGAGAGTTTAGCTGTGAATACAAGCTCTTTTATGTTATCTAGCCTCAGGGAAAAGTCTCTGACCAATTTTTACTTACTAGTTTAGATGTAGCCAGGGTGTCTAGGTCTTCCTTTCTTTTCCAATCGTACTGAAGCTGGCAATCAATTTTCAGAGCAAACATTAGCATTGTGACATGCCATACTGTAGGGTGACAGTATTAATATGATTTGACCATGCAACTTGTATAAATGCCACACAGTTCATTATGTTTTAAGGAAAAGTACTATTATTTGAGGAGTGGACTGAAGCAAATCTAGAAGTAATAAACAAACCACAACATAAAATGATGCAAACAATTGAAGAATGAATAGCTCAATTTGTTTCAATTAATTATGGGCTAGATCTCTATTACTGTAAAGCTGTCTGCACAATAAATAAATATACATCTAGATAGTCTTTTTTATAAATATAAACCGTAATATTATGTAAATTCCAGGTATCACTGTTAACAACATTAAAAATACATTCTGTTACTTTAAATATAGTAGAAAAAAATGGTAGGTTGTAGATAGAAAAAAGAAGCATTTTAAACAAAGACCTTCTCGTTTAAAGCAATAATCATCAACATGTGGCTTCCATGTAGTATGTGGCAGCTGCAATAACATTCATATCTCAGTGTGCCTTCTCTTAGGCAGAGCAAGAAAAGTGCTGAAAACAGTAGCATTCCTCATGGATCTGCTCCAGATCCCACAGAAGTCAGTGAGAAACTAGCCTCCATGCTTGCTTTCACACTTGGGCAGTACAGCGAATGTTGAGCAAACAGACCACAACTATGAAGCTCGCTCTCAGCAGCCAGGCAAATAAGAAACACTTTAGACTCCCTCACTAGAGTCAGGATTTGGGGGGAAAAGAGAAAGAGAAGTAGAGAGGTAACATCAGAGCCACCTAGTTCTTTCAGCTAAGTCTGTCTTGCATTAATCCTAACATTTATAAAGACCTTGAAGTTTCCAAAATCCATCAAATAAATAACCATAGTGGACGTTGCTTATTGGAGGGCAAGGGGATATTGCTTTTATTTATCGTTACCCTTAATATTATGTTGCAAAACACATTTTCCATACTAGAAATACTAATAACAATATATCAAAGCATCACAACATGAATGTGAGCTTCAGGCTCAGCTGGTCTACATGTACTGGAAGGATCATTAGTTTAAAGTGTCTGCTACTGGGAACCGAGAAATAATGACATCTCTCAGGAAACAAATTGCTCTTTTCGGCTCTGCACTGGACTTTTAATGCTTCTACCCCCCCCCCCCCACCCCCCCCAAGATCATTTTATGGGGAAAGAGAAGGGAGTGGGTTGACTGATCTCTCCTCCAAAGTGCTGTGCTGGATAAGAAGATAAGGGCTAGTTCACAGAGAAGATAAGATCCCTCTACAGCTGCACAGTGATGGATCAGCTACTAAGGACTGTGCAAGGCAAGCTCTGGCAATTTAAGATGTACATCAGAGAGACAACAAAAGCAAATAAGCACCCACACATCAGCTTCTCCAGCATCCTCAGCGCACACGAGCCAAAGCTCTTAAGGAGGGGTCTGGCATACACATTTGTATTTGCCTAGTGGTGAGGTGGATTGCAAGTTTATCATGTTAAGCCTGTTTTCCCCCAATAAAAATATTTCATGGCAATGTGAGCAAAGTTAAGAAGACAGATACTCATTCCTTGCTCAGGCAATTCACTCAGTCTGTTTCCCTCATAAGTCTGTGAACTTAAAATCACACTTAGGGGAGGTGAGAGGAGGTAAACTGATTTCCAAGTAGTGTCTAAATTAACTAATTCTACAAGCAAATTACATGTGAATTTTTTTGACAATATTTTTGAGATTTTATTTCAAGTTGGAGGTGTCCGTTCCCACCAAATATACACATAAAAACAGCCTCTGTAAACCTGTAGCCTGCCTGTTTGATCCCAAACTCCAGGATTACCTTGGTAAATGACAAATCACTGAAGAAAATCCTAACTGTGATTAAATCATACAAGTAAGGCAACAAATGAAAGACCTATTTAATTTCTTGCAGATCAGTTCTCTGTGGATCAAAAAAGAATAAATATTTTCTTGAGGGTCTCAGAACTGATACTTAGGACTGTGGCATGCACAATGCAAACACACTTTGCTCCCAAAGACCTGGCAGCAGCATTGCTATTGTATAACACAGCTTTAAACCTGTTCTGAAGCAATGCTGTAAATCAGGAATCATTCCACAAAAGTCAATGGAGTTAAATGACCGTAAAACTGGTATGAGAGAGAAATCAGATTGTTAACCTCTAAAGTAGAGCTTACATTCCTCTCACAGCCTCTATTTGGTCAGGTTATATTTTACTCATTCAGAGTGTGAAATTAGAGCCTCAAGCTAGGAAATAAGCATTTGATTGTAGTTGAGCTATAATTGATATAACTTAATGATAGCAAACTTTTAGCATAAACTTCTTGGCCCACATCCAATAACATTGCCTAAATTGGAATGGAGGTGTCTGAGTATCTGCTAACCTCAAACAGTACTCCAGACCATATTCTGCCCACAGTGTCTAACTATATGAAAACTCAAAAGCAGTTACATGCTTCCCTCTTTGACTTGGAAGTTTCCATGACATTTGCCCAGAAACACTTAAGTTTCATCCAAGCAAACGAGAGAGAGAACCAATGTAGCACAGAGTGCTGGGCTGGTAATAGGTAGCTATAGGCTTCTGGTTCTTGTTCTTGGGAGTAGCTTGACGTTTTGTGTTATATTATTATTGACTGAAAACAGAAAACTGGGGCCAGGAACTAAAGTCTTAGAATATCCACCATCCCCTCCACTTTTTGAAAGTGAGCTTTACTTGCTGGGGGTTTTTTCCTCAGAAAAGAATTTTTGTTCTGAATTCTCAGTGGCCAAGGTGCTTATTGTTCGTTACAGGCTGGCTGAAAGGGATTTCGCATTCACTGGACAGGAGCACGAAGGCAACTTTGTTGTACCGTAGGATCAAAAGAGGTAGGTATTCAATTTAGGTTGTCTACATTGCTCTACAGAGGACATAAACTACTTGAATTTAGGTTACCTGGCCCTGTGTTTCCACAATTATGATCCAGCCAAGAATAACTCCTCTTTACAATGAAGCTTTAAGCTCCATTAAAATGTCACATTAATGCTCAGTAGCAGTCAAACGGCAAATAGGATGTCAGGAGTTTTTTTGCAAAAGCATAGAGAACAGCACAGAGGATGCCTTTCTGCCCCGTAATAAACTCATGGTGAATACTGTGTACACCTCTGATCCCCCCATCTCCAAAAGGGCATAGCAGAAGTAGGAAAGCTACAACAAAGATTATCTGATGTGCAGAAAAGCTTCCCTATATGGATAGTCTATGTCACAGAGGATTCCTCAGTTTGGAAAAAAGATGACTGATGAGTATTTGATGTAAAATTATGAAAAGAAATAAGAAAGTATCTAGCGAACCATTATTCAGCATTTCTCATAGTGTAAAAACTTATAAGACATGCTAGGAAGACTAAGGCATGCTAGACTGGGAAGACTAAGGGACATGCTTTTTTTCATACAGTACATTATTTTACAAACACACAATGTTGTACAGACCAAAAATATAAAATACAATCGGATAAGCTCTTAAAAGAAAGATCCATCAAGACCTACTGAACACAGAGCTATGGAACCCTTCAGTTCTTATTTCACTGCATGCATTTTGAAGATCTGATCATTCACTGCGCTTGGAAGAGCTTCTACAAGCTATATCTTTTCATTGTTTGTAGATAGCCTTAGGATTCAAAATAATGCAAAGTTATGATAGCAGTTTTACATACATAATCAAAGGAAGAAATATTAACTAGAAGTTAAGAAGCTGCCACATCCAGATCTGGATTTTAAGTTCTTCACAATTCAGAGGCATCTGGAGTTTATTTAATGATTATTATTATTAGCTATATGTTATATAATGATTTAATAAAAATGGGGAGCATGCACAAAGAAATTATTCAGAATCTGGCCCCTAGTTTCCAGCTGCATCACAATTTTAAGATATTTATTCAAAGTGCTTGAGTTTGGCTCTTGTTTGATGGGAAAAGCATGATAAGAGACATCAAAAAATTTTGAAATAAGGTCTAGGAAAATACACAGCTCATATTTTTTGCAACCAGATGTCCAGAAGAACAAAGACAACTGTAGAGTTTCTAATCAGCCCTTAAGCCTCTGTCACTGTGAGGAGGGGAGGAGGATGACAGAGAGGAAAAGGAAGAAGCCCTGGCTTAGATTAAGTGGGAGCACTTCTAGGGTTTCGCTGAGCTTTCACCCTGGCTGCCAGGCCACCCTGGCACCAACTGCTCCTTCCACAGTGTTTCAGTTTCTGTTTTCTCCAGGTGGTAAGGAGCTTTCTGTTTTATCATAGGGTGAATCTGGGTTTGGCAAATACAAAAAAAAGTGCTGTTCACTTTCTCTGGGAAGTGTAAACAGCATCACACCCAGCCAGCACTACCAGTGTAACAGCAGAAAAAGCTCCAGTTCATATCTGGATTTCATGACTGGAGCTGCACATCCAGATAAAAAGTAAAATACTTAGTTTGAGAAGACTCATCCATTTATCCTGCTGGCACAAAGACCTTCTTTGTTTTATTTTCTGGGATTTTAAGGATCTTGTTTCCCATTTCTGATTATTTAAAGAAGAAAAAAAGAAAACGCTGGTGTGTAAAAAAAACAAAGAAGCAGAAAACCCTACAAGCATTCAGAGAGGGTGCAGTAGTTTTAGCTTTCTGTTTGTGTGATTCCAATAGGTGTATTTAAATGTAAATGTTACCCTTTCACCCTTGAGCCACCTATTCTTACAGCCAGCAGAAAGAGAGCATTCATGGTATAATGGCTTTATGAGGACAGATCTTATACTTAATTTCTCATGTGAATCAAACTCTTTTATAACACATTTTTGTGAGATTAAAAGAACAGTATTAGTCTAGTGGCTCAGCAGCCAGATCACTGCCCTGTCACATGGGAGACTTGGGTTCAAGGAGATGGCAGGCAACTTAGTTTCAGTCATGGACTTCTCAGCTGTAGTCACAGATAGATTCAATCTTCTATGCTCATAGAATTGCTCAGTTTTGCATGATCTACCCTCATAGGCCAGCCAGAGCCACCATCCACTTAGCTCCTTACTGGAAACTGTGTCCATCTGCTGGCCTATCACAGGGCATCATTACAAAAAGGTCTTCAAAGCCAAAGCTTTGTGTTAGCTTGCATTTGCACTGTGGGGAGGATTTTTGGGAAGGAGAAGGATGACTTTATCAGCAGATATTTTCAGACAACTGCACTGTGTCCCTTTGATTGCTCAGTTTCACTCTCACGCACTGAGTCGTTGCATGTTCAGGTTACCCATCCACATAGGTACCCAACCACATGTGAAACACAGGAAGTTCCATCTGAACATGAGGAAAAACTTCCTTCCTGTGAGGGTGACAGAGCACTGGACCAGGTTGCCCAGAGAGGTGGTGGAGTCTCCTTCCCTGGAGATATTCAAAACCCACCTGGACGTGATCCTGGGAAATATGCTCTAGAGGACCCTGCTTGAGCAGGGAGGTTGGACTAGATGATCTCCAGAGGTCCCTTCCAACCTAAACCATTCTGTGATTCTGTGATGGCATGAGGCTTTGTGAATTGCATGGCTTGCAAGCAGGTGTTGTCCGAGATTGTTACTACAGGTAGAATGTGACAATAAGATTGACAGATTAGCTCAGACCCTGGTATGTCAAGGTAGAGCCCCACTAAAATCTAAGGGGCCCTAATCTTATATTAAAAGATTATATTAAAAGATTCTATATTAAAAGTTTCATTTCTAGAACAGAGAAGACGACTAACTTCATATTGGCTAAACAAGTTTAAAACAGAAGTTAAGCGCAGGTCAAACAAATTGATTTGTCCTACTTTGCTCCAGTTGAGTTAAAATAATGCTTAATAGTTTTTCAAAATTAGTTGTATTTCTTGGACTAAAGCATGGTTGCAGGAGATCAGATTTTGCACCACCTCCATGCAACGCTGAATAATGTTGGCAGCATGGCTGTAAGATGGCTGCAAGGTGGCTGTATTGTGGACTGCTGAACATTTAGCACTGTTAATTACTATGATTATTATTTGTTTTGTGATGCTGCATAGAAGATGCAGTGATAGAGATCTTTGTGCAGAGTGACATTCAAATGCTTAACAATAAGATATTTTTCTTCTCAAAGATCATACAGCTTAAATCCCAGCCATGTTATGTGATGCAAGACAGAGCAGCCTGTGTATGCCACAAGTGCACACACCAGTGTCAGGCAGCCCTACTTGCTTCACTTCCCCTTCCCTTGATATAGGGAGTATGTCTCATTGTGGCACTAAGCGCATGCAAACTAAAGGGAAATGGGCTATTATTTTAGGAGGTGCAGGACCAAGCACCTGGAACAGTGAAAAACTTGGAAAGAATTTCTATAAATGTTTTAAGCTGTAATATATTAAACAATTAAGAAGTGTTGGTATTTTTGTGCTTGAGGGCATTTAAAATAGGGAAGTCCCCTTTAAAGGCACCAGAGCGGAATGTGTATGGTCATGCTCTTTAAAAGAAAAACTACCTCTTTTTTCTCCCTTTCAGCAAAAAGTCCACGTTTCAGCTGACTTGCTCTTTCAGCAGAGGAAATGAAGCCAGATAATTTTAATGCTGTTTTAAATAGTTAACTCTTCAGTTTAAAAAAAAAAAAAAAATCAAAGAACAGAACTGGTTACCTTGAAAGCTCTACTGAAGTAATATTAAAATAATTTTGATAATAACTTTAATGCATTACTTATGGATTACCCAGGACTGTCAGCACTGCAGCTTACTACAGGTTAATCAGTAAATTACTGATGCTAGCTACAACCAGCCCTTAAGAAATCCAACATGTCCTACGTCTTTGCTCTTATTTTCCTGAGGACAATTAATTAGTGTCCATGCAACATCAAATTAGCATGAAAGAATAAGAACTTAATACTGACTATTCTTAGCTGAGCAAACATTCAACATTAGAGTGTACTTATTGAATGTTTAGCTAATTCTTTGAAAACTCTTCTTAGTGTTTTTAAAGCACATGAGACTGAATATAAATTCTTATAGATGATAGGCAGACAAACAGAGACATACATACACACACATGTAGTATACACACACATAACATATTCCAAACAGACAAGCTCTAGGAAAATTTACAACAGAAGCAAGAAAAAAAGAATTACCTACTGGTCTCTACAACGCCAACAAGTGCATAGATTCTCTGGGAAAAAAACCTTAGAAAACTCTGTTGTAATATTTTGAAGGAAAATTTTAACAATCATTTTCATCAAAATATTTTTCTGACAAAAAAATAAGTATTTAATAGAATCTAAAAACTGTCACCAGTGGACAATACCTGCTTCAAGTTGCATGTAAGGAAATAAATACAGGAATTGGCAACTTCTGTGCAGTTTTAGCTTCTCCCGACTAATTATAGCAGGCTTTTGCTTTAATCATTTATCTCAGGGCAGCCCATCAGATTAACTGGAAAAAGAAAAAAAGAAAAAATATAGTAAAACTTAGTGAGTTACTGGAATCTTCTGGAACTAAAAGCTATACAGATGGTCTGCAACATATTTGTATAGAAGATGCCCAATTGTTGATGTTTTTCCAACTATTATAGTAGCATAGTAAGAAGGCAGATACTGGGCAGTGAGCACTGAGCAACTGTTGTCATCGAGCCTTCCCCTCTTGGCTGCTTCCCCACTCACCCAACGAGCGGTTTTGGTCTCCCAGAGCGGAGACAAAGGTTGCTTTGGAGAAGCGGGGAAGCCTCAGAACACCATGTAGATTTAGGACTGGATAGAAGGTATTGTGCGGAGGCCATGCCCATTACTCATCCGCTGGCAACGGGCTCTCTTCCTTTTGTCTGGAAAGACGGTAAACTTTCAATGCCATCTGAAAACAGAAGGCCTTTCACAGAGTGCAAGAACTCTG